GCTCCAGTGTAAAGCTAAATAAAGCTTAGTGAAAAGAGGGTGAGAATCCGTCTGGCCTCATTTACATGCTGTTAAGACTAAAGATCATTAAACTTGAGTTTGTTATTTTTAAAACTGGAAAATCTTGGTGCATGTCACAATGTTTTTCTTTAATGACTATGGTGTTAAGATTCGTGGTGATAATTTATTCCACAATCATATACTATGGAATAAAGTTTTGAAGGAAATTAAAAGTGACCCTTTGTAACATTCTACGTGCCAAGTTCATATTTTAATGGAGAATGACTCACCTCGCGATATGTCTGCTAAAGGCAAATAGCTTCAGAAGCTATTTTTTATACATGGATTTTATATATTTGAAATATTGTCAATATAGCGACACAAATGCATTCTCCAAGTAATTACTTTGCATTAGTCTTTTGATGCAGTTGTAAAATAATAGATAATAAGAGTATCTTATGATATAGTTTTTATTGGACTAACAGAAATGTGGAACTTCAAGCTTTGCAGAGTTCAAATGGAAAGCATTAAATTAGACATAATATATCACCATTAAACTGCTTGAGTTTGGCTTTATCGTCCACTCCCATGAATTTCAACAAATTAAAACTGTGTATGGGATGTGCGACAATGAACTCTGCAAGTATTACCATTTAATGATTACTAGATGTGAACAGTGTGTTTCCTTATATGTTATAATGTTTTAAATGCAAATTATTCCCCTACCAGGCAACAATTTATTTTCTGTGAGGCTAACAAGGCATTTGCCTTGGGTGGCACTTTCAAGGGGGCTGCAAAAAATGCCATCCCCCAAATGCCCCGGTGGATGCCTTGCAAGCCTCGTGTCCTGGGGGCTCAAGAGTTGGCCGGCTGGCCACCTTTGGGCCCCCCGAGGTGGGTGGGCAGTAGTATTACAGACCAGTGGCAAGGAAGCGCTGATCTGTGTACTCTCCTTGCTCTGCTACCTCGCGCGCCCTGTTTAATTATGCCAGGAGACGGAATATGATGTGACTTTGGCTCCCGGCATCACTAAGCAGCACACAAGGGAGCTGAGCATGAAGGTCTCAGCTCCTTCGCCGCCTACCCTTCATGCCTGCGCGCCTGCCCAGCAGCCCGGTTAACAGCTAGCTCAGCAGCCCCACTGAACCCCAGGTAAAGAATCCACTCCAGCTCGCCCAAATTAGGGAGGCTGGGTGGATTTAAATTAATAATAATAATTAATAATAATAATTTGTGTTGATGGAAAATGTGTGTTAGTATTAGTGTGTGTTTGTATGTCAGTGTGTGTCTGTCAGTGAATGTGTGTATGTGTGTCTGTCAGTAAGTCTGTGTGTCTGACTGATTGTGCATGTGTCTGTCAGGGATCCGCCCGCGGTCTCCCCTCTGCTTACCTGTCGGCGTGCGCCGTCTCATCTGTGCCGCTCGCCGCCCGCGTCCTCCACGCCCCCCAGCGGCAGCATGTATAACGCTGCATGAGGTCCATGAATTAAGTAAACGGCGGGGTCACGTGAGTGACCCGGCGTTAAAGAAACAGTACCACAATCACAGTGGGAGGTATAGATATCCCCCACGTGTGATTGTTAATTCTGATTGGAAGTTATCCAATCAGAATTAAACCAAGGGTATTTATACTTACCTTTCCTGTCCCTCAGTGCCCTGTTGTGGTCTTGTGATACCTGTAGCGTAGTGTTCTTGTCTTGCTCTCTGGTTACTGATTATTTGGCTCGTTATTCCGATTATCCTGTCTTCTCCACTCCTTTGACCTCGGCTTGTTTCTCGTTCTCCCGTTTTATGGCTCCCTTTACTTGGCTTGTCTCCTGATTATTCTTAGCGTGCTTAGCCCGGCCACTCTAAGGTCCGGTACGGCACCTTTTCTGTGTGTGTGTGTGTGTGTGCGTGTTGGGTTCCTCGAATCGTGACAGTGTCTGAGTGATTGTGTGTCTTTCATAGTATGTCAAATCAGTGAGTGCGTGTATGTCAGTGTGTGTGTGTGTCTGTGAGTGTGTATGTGAGTGAGTGCCTGTCAGTGTGTGTCTGTGAGTGAGTAAGTGTATGTCAGTGTGTGTGTGTCTGTCTGTGTGTCTGTCTATATCTGAGTGGTTGTGTGTGTCTGTCTGAGTGTGTCAAATCAGTGAGTGTTTGTATGTCAGTGTGTGCCTGTCAGTGAGTGTATGCCAGTGTATCTGAGAATGTGTGCCTGTCAGTGTGTGTCTGTCAGTAAAAGTGTGTGTTGTTAAACAGTGTGTGTGCCAATGACTGTATTTGTCAGTGAGTGTATATCAGTGCATACATCAGTGAGGGCGTGTCTATCTGTTAAAGCGTGTGTTGGTCTTTAACAGGAAAAGGTGCAGCCTTGACAGGAAGGGGTTGGGTAAATTTAAATAAGGGGCAAGTTTCGTCGTGCCTAGGGCAGCACAAATCCAAAATACACCTCTGCTACCAGGTACCAGAGAAAAGGCAGTTGGATGGACAGCTGAAAGGTTTCAGATTAAATATAAACATAGATTATATACATTACATATACAATACTTCAACTACATGAAAAATATTGAGGAATTATAGGTCTTGATGGGTCCACCATTTTTCACAGACCACCATTCACCATACACCTTCCCTCAACCTATTTCTTTCTAATAACGCAGCCTAATTTCTCTTTCATTGCTCACTCCTCTCCTAAACACAACAACTAGTGTTACTTCCATAATTATAGTCCCTTACCCAGCTTTATGACATCCCTGAAAGTATATTCTTGTCTTTTTCTATCTCACACTAATCACTCTCGCCATTTAGCCTTCTATGCATTGTGTCTGTCCCGATGCCTACATGCACATTTATGGTTATTACAGCCCTAGACCCAGTGATAACGACACCCACATGCACAGTCTGAAACTCACATAAATATCTCTATGTATATATATATATATATGAATTAAGACCCATTCATAAAAATAAAAAGATATGCAAATAGGCTACATTAGACACAGAGAGGATTGTTATGTGTTATCAGAAATAAAGTCATTGAATGGTTCTGGAGATATCACAAATCATAAATTAATAGGCTCTCCTGCCTTCTCCTACCTACTCAGTACAATTAATGAAAAGGGAGCCCACATTAAAAAGAAGCCTTGCCATCCATCCATCCTGTGTAATTCGGCTACTAATCGACTGTGTAACTTTTCAGCAAATTAAATTTATTGTGAATTGAATTTATAAATTCAGGGACAACTTAATTTGTATAAGAACTGTCTTTAGTAAATAGCTGAAATGGTTCATGCAGTTTTACATATTTCTGTTTGTTTTTTTTCTAGGTTGAAACTCATCCAAGAATGTGTTCAGCAGGCTGAAGTGGTTATGGTGCTTGCATAATTTACAGATGACATTAGAAAACTTTACATCATCACATTTATATAAATTGCCCAATACATTCTAAATCAAGAAAGTCTTTGTCTCAAGCATGAAGCATGTCAGAACTCCCCCATTCCCTTTGTTATGATAGAAGAATAAAGATTTTTTTTTTATTTAATATAATTTTCCAGGTTGAGGATGCATTTGTTGGAGTCGCCTCTTAGGGGGTCTAACTAGTTATCCATTACATTATTTGCTGAGGAGGTGACCTTGTTCCCAGACTCCCTGGGAAAAGGTAGGAGTAAGTAGGAGTAACAGTTTTGTTGGTCTCAACGCTCTATTTAATTAAAGTGTATTTTTCCAAACTATCTTTTACATAAAGACATGGCTGTGTTTAGTACATTATGTGGATATGTCATGCTAAACATAATATATTTACCATAAAAAATGCACGGTTCTGCTTCAGTATGATTATCTACATTTGTCTGTAATATTAACAATGCTAAAATATAAACAAAATGGCTCCAGTCACAAGCAAACAGAATTTTGGGAAAGTCTGACAGCAAAAGGTTAAAAACTGAATTTTATCCCATAGTTTTATCCCATATCCCATAAACATAGTTTATTTTTTCTATATTTGACATCTAATATATGGCATGATATATGGCATGATGAGGTATGACTTATTAGATATATATTGCCCAAAAAGATCAAATATACTTATTTAATAGTTGTATTGTTTCATTATTATTTGATATTGTGCCTGCATGTCATCATCATACAGAGATAACCTAATGTGTCACAGCAATGCCTTTTTGTTGTCCTTCCGCAGCCCTACTGTTCAGCTCTCTGGTAAACAAAAGATATATTCAAGGCGGAAAAGCCACCAATAAATAATCCCATTCACAAACATGTCTCAAACTAAATATACTACGCTTAAAATCAGTGCGTTGTGGTTAGTGATGAATAACCGCTTTTAATACTATTGTTAGTTTATGAATGAAGACAAATACCACAAGAAAGATAATAAAAATGTGTGGAAAATAAAATGTGTTTCTCATTAGCTTGGATTTGTTGCCTGTGTTTTTACAACATTTATAAAATGTTAGTAGCGGATTTCTTGATTGTTAAAATTCAAAAACTTACATCACTCTCTGAGCAAGAGAAAAATAAAAGTTATTAGTTAACACAGGTGCACATACTAAATAATATCGATGGTATTCATGTAATCACAATCATATACAAGAATTAAAACAAAAGTGCATCAGACAGGACATTACTTAGGGATGCAAACACAATAGGATTAATATATAGCTGTTCATTCACATCAGTCATTTGTATTGTTGTTATGCACAGGTCATGTGACAAGTAGTGATGTCGCGAACGGTGCGCGACATCACTAATTACAAGCCTGGCGGTGCCGTGTTTGACAAAGACCTCTTAGCAGGCTGAAACGTTGCTGCTCTTTTTTCAAACCTGCGGTTTGCACCTACTATCAAACTGCTCGTTGGGATCCAAGAAATATGAAGAATCCAAGTTAAACAAATGTTTTATGTCATTTCAAGATTAAAAGTTATGGTGTATAGCATTCCTACTTATAGATATTACTGAATTATATGTTGCAGTATCTCTGGACTCCTCAGAATGCCACCATTTCAGCACACATCTAATGGGACTTGTTTGGATTCCGTAGAACGAATGTCTCCCATGACATGTGTGTCCCTGGCATTCTTGTGGAGTGATAGGGTGTGGTTCCCCTCCGGTTTGTCAGGCTTTCCACATTCTGCATGCTCCGGTTTCAACAGGTTCTGTCTCTGTGATATCTTGAGCAGGCGTGATGGGCGCCATCTTGGGACCCTCCTGACTGCCGGATACACGATTTCTTGAGGGGAGCGTAGTGGTGCTCGTCGATGTGAGGGAGCACTAGTCCGCTGATGTTCTTTTTTTTCCAGAAGGCAGCAGATATCTTGGATCATCACTGTGAAGGCCTGAACATGTGTCATCCGCCATATTGGGTAAGTCGCCATCTGATCTTTCAGGCCGTGTGGCCTCATCCCGAGTCCCGACTTCACCAGGGTAGCCTCCCATGGAGGGACTGGGATCACCCTGACTGGCGTGAAAATCCATTTTAACATTTATACACTCACTTACGTGTTAATATATTTACACTTTAACTTCATCCCTATGTTGTCAAAAGTCTTTAGGGATAGTTTGCACCAAACCCATTAAGTTGCAAATCTTTCTGTGATAAATGTAGAATAAAAAATAAAAAAAATTCCCTATTCCTAAAATTTTTCAAATCATTTTATCACTTCGGTTATTTTATAACCCATAGCTTCCAAAAAACAAGGCCAAAAAAATGCTCAACTGAAACAACATGTTCTTCTTTCTTCATCTAGGATCTTGTTGAGAAGGCTTGAGGGGATATAAATTGTAAACACATGGAGAATCTTATCTAGAGAACACATCGAATAAAAATTCTGATTTCATGCAAACTGTGTGAAACCAGGAATTATTACACTGTGTTCTGTAAGACCGTGCATTAAGATAACATAGATCAAATATAAAAACGTTACATTCTGTGTAATGGAATCGGCATCAAAATAGCAACTCTGATTAATCTCTGCCTTCTAAAGTCTTTGAAATCAATAAGGTTTATTCAAAGCAACACCTGCTGGCTTAAAAATGCATCGATGATATTGTATGAGAAGTGTCACCTTGTTCTCCTCCCTATGATAGTTTTGTCTATCAGCAGTAAGTGTTTTTGCAGTGAATTTTTGAAAGGTGTTGATTTTCACCTTGGGAAGTAATCAAAGTGAGGTAATTCAGCGGAGGGACCGGTGATCTCATGCTCCAATTAAAATTCCACTCTCCAGCTGCTCCCTGTGAGAGTCAGTAAGGAGATTTGGCTGTTTCGTTCATTTTCAAAGATACATAATATATTTAACAGGTCAAAGAGTGTTTTTGCAATATTATTTAAAAGGCACGGTTAAAATAATATGTTGGTCTTTAGCACAATCTGTTTTGTCACAGGTTTGTGGTGAATGGGCTCAGTATGCAGTATGCAGAGTCACTTCAACTTAAAGAGAAACTATGTTGCCAGGAAAACAAAGTTGTTTTCCTGGCACTATCGCTCCCTATAGTTCACCCATCATTCCCCCTACCGCCAGTGATGCAGAAGGGGTTAAAAACCTATTCTGTCACTTATCTTGTTCCAGGGCCGTGTCTCTTAGCACTGGCTCAAGGTCCGCACTCACTACTCCCCCGTCAATGTCAGCTGGATGGGAAGACCTAATGTGCATATGCGGCAATGTTTACACTCGTATTAGAACAGCCCCATAGGAAAGCATTATACAATAGCATAGCGTGAAGACATACAGTGTCAGTAAGGCGTCCAAAAGTGGAGTTAGCCCATAAAGGTAATAATTGCATTTAATTAAAACCTGCAAAAATTATAATTGCAGATTTAAGGGATCTGGGAATATGCACCCAGACCACTTCAATGACCTGAAGTGGTCTGGGTGCCTATAGTGTCTTTAGTGATGTAATAATGGCATAAATAGGAAAATCTGGGAACTAACAAATGTAATAGGACCAGGGCCATTCAACAAATACAGTTTAGAAAGTATTCAAGACAGGATAAGCAAACAAAAGTATTAAGTCTTAGGTTAGTAAACAAATAGGCAAAGTTTACCATAAGGTCCAACACTGGCCCAGGGTGGCAGGAGTTAGCCCAAGCAGGTCCGTGCTAACCGAGATAAAGGCAAATCCAAGCTGGTAAGGGTTACCAAAGCCAAAGTCCTGGTGGAAAAGGATAAATGAAAGCAAATCAAAGTTTGTAGGAGTTAACAAAGGTAAATCCAGGCTTGTGATCCTTAGGGAGTCCACACAACAACTAAGCATGGAGTTCTGTCAGAGATGAGTAATAATAAAAAAAAAGAGGTTATAGATAATTTAGGGGACAGCAAGTAAATTTAGATTTTATTCACAGAACAAGTGAGAAGAGACCAATAGAAAGGAAAATAAAAGAAATAAAGTAAAACAAATATATAATTATTATTATTATTTTAACATTTTTATAGCACCAGCAGAATTCCGTAGCGCTGTACAATGGGTGGACTAACAGACACGTAATTGTAACAAGACAAATGTACTCACAGGAACAGAGGGGTTGAGGGCCCTGCTCAATGAGCTTACATGCTAGAGGGAGTGGGGCAAAGTGACACAACGGGTATAAGTAGGGGTAATGAAATAGGTTGCTACAAAAGTATTTAATGAGAACTTAGTAGATTATTTTTGACAGTTGCAGGAGAGGAGTCATGGGGGAATGAAAATCCGCTAACAGTTCAAATGATATGCTTTCCTGAAGAAGTCTGTTTTCAAAGAGTTTTTGAAGGTGTGGAGATTGGGTGAAAGTCTAATGGAGAAGGGAAGGGAGTTCCACAGAAAAGGTGCAGCCATTGAGAAGTCTTAAAGGCGAGAATCAGATGTGGGAGTACAGACAGAGCATGGACGTAGGTCTTCGGCAGAGGGCAGGGGCCTCGAAGGGACATACTTGTGAATATTATTAAGAATCTGAAATTGAGCCCTATATTTAACTGAAAGCCAATGTAGGGACTGGCAGAGGGGGGAGGCGTGGGAGGTGCGGGTGGACAGGAAAACGAGCCTTGCCACCTAATTCATAATAGATTGCAGCAGTGCAATCTGGGAACACGTAAGACTACTAAGAAGGGGATTGCAGTAGTCAGGACGTGAAAGAACAACAGCATGAACCAGCACCTTAGCCGCGTCTGGTGTTAAATAGGGGCGGATGCGAGCTATGTCTTTGAGATGGAAGCGGCAGGATTTGGCGATCGACTCAACATGAGGGGTGAAGGAGAGGTCGGCGTCAATGAGAACACCTAGAGTTGATGGTGGCGCTATTGGCTTGGAGGGAGACAGACACTGGAGTAGCAACACTTGAGGGAGGAAAGACCGGAAGTTCTGTTTTAGACAGGTTAAGTTTAAGGAAGTGAGCAGCCATCCAAATGGAAATCGCCGAGAGGCAGTCAGAGACAAGAGTCAAGATGTGCGGAGAGAGATCAGGATAGGACAGGTAGATTTGTGTGTCATCTGCATATAAATGATAATGGAAGTCAAAGGAGCTGATGAGTTTACCAGGGAGGCAGTATAGATGAAGAACAGTAGGGGACCAAGGACAGAACCTTGGGAAACGCCAGAGAGTGGTGAAAAAGCGCTGGTAGAGGTAGGAGGAGCACCAAGAGAGAGCAGTATCTTGTAGACCGAGATAACGGAAAATGAGAAGAAGCTGTTGATGATCAACAGTGTCAAAGGCAGCAAAAAGATCAAGGAGAATTAGGATAGAGTAATGGCCGCAAGATTTAGCAGCGATTAAATCGTTGGATACTTTGGTCACAGCTGTTTCAACAGAGTGACGAGCGCAGAATCCAGACTGAAGCAGGTCAAGTAGAGAGTTGGATTTGAGGAAGTCTGTCAATCTCGCGTACACATCTCTCTCAAGGATCTTGGAGGCAAACGGCAATAGCGATATAAGGCGTTAGTTGGATGGGGAGTTGGGGTCGAGGTTGGACTTTTTCAAAATTGGCGTTATGGTTGCATGCTTGAAGGATGAAGGAAATGTGCCGGGAAAAGGGAGAGATTGACTTTAGTGAGAGGAAGAGCAAGAGAGGGAGACAGAGTGCGGTTGAGGTATGAGGGAATAGGATCGAGGGAACAGGTGGTGGGGCGGGAGGAGCGGAGCGGAGCAGAGCGGAAACCTCTTCTGTTGTAGTAGCTGCGAATGAGCATAGAACAGTGGAGGGAGTGGGGTTGGGTGATGTATTGGAAGGGGAAGGAGAGAGATTAGAGATCTCTTCCTTGATTGTAGAAATCGTCTCAGTGAAGTGAGTTGCAAAGTTTGAGGCGGACAGGGTGGTAGGAAAAGGGGGAGCAACAGGGTGAAGCAGAGATTTAAATGTGTGAAATAGGCATTTGGGTTGGCGGGACAGTGTGCTTATGAGGGTGTTGAAGTAATTTACTTTTGCAGAGGAAAGAGCCAGAGTGTAGGAGTGCAGCATAAATTTATAGTGAATGAAGTCAGGTACAGAGTGAGACTTTCTCTAACAGCATTCAGCAGTTCTAGAACATTTTTGGAGATATCGGGTCAGCTTGGTGTGCCAGGGTTATAATTGGGAACACTTGCTGCGTTTAAATGTAGGAGGTTCCATGATGTCTAGTTGAGAGGAGAGAGGAGAGTTGTAGAGTGAGGTTGCAGAGTTAGGGCAAGTGAGATTTGAGATGGGTGAAAGGAGAGTTTGGAGTTTGGTGGAGAAATGCTGGAGATTTCTGCGATTCTGGAGAGTTGAGAGTGGTGCTATTTGGATATGGGGATATGCCGATGTCAAAGTTCAGCAGATGGTGGTCAGAAAAAGGACATGGAACAATGGAGAGATTAGAGGTGGTACAGAGATTGGTGAAGATGAAGTCAAGAGTGTTTCCTGCTGTATGAGTTGCTGAAGTAGACCACTGTGTGAGGCTGAAGGAGGAGGTTACAGAGAGCAGACGGGAGGCGTCAGGGCAGTTGAAGTTGTTGATTGGGATGTTCAAGTCTCCAGGTATGAGGGAAGGAGTGCTGGAGGAGAGAAAGTCGGGTGGCCAGGAAGAAAAGTGTTCCATGAATAGCCTAGAATGGCCGGGTGGGAGGGAGAGGGGGACCAATAGATGATGACAATTCTTAAAGGAGTAGGTTTAAATATGCAGACAGTGGGAACTTCAAAGGAAGTAAAGGATAGGTTAATGGCAGGGAGGATAGGCTGAAAGGTACATTGAGGGGAGAGAAGGATGCCTACACCGCCGCCTTTACAGTTGAGTCTGGGAGTGTGGGAGAATTGTAGTCCACCGAAACATAAAGAAGCAGGAGTAGTGGTATCAGAGGGGGAAAGCCAGGTCTCTGTGAGTGCTAGTAGTGTGAGGTAATTAGAGATGAAGAGGTTGTGTGCGGCTGTTGATTTAATATTGCTACAGATGAAACGGGCGTTCCAGAGTGCACACTGAA